GAAAAAATATTCAATTTAATTCAAAATATTTGGTTTAAAATTTTTTATTTTTAAGTAAAAAATAACTTTATAGTTTCAATATTGAAGCTACGTTTATCCGCACGTTTACGTTTACCCCACAGAAACCAGGAGATTGAACTTTAGTACGTGAAAATCCGATCATAATAACGAAAATTGTTCAAGATTATATCTTTTTCATTTGTTCACTATACATATAAATATGCCCCGCAGAGGACTGATCGTTATGACACGTTTCCCAGCAGATCACAGAAGTCAAGCATCACTGGCTGCAGGTCAGTGTGTGGGTAGGTGACTACTTGGATCAGTCTGCGTAGGGACCGAGGGTGTGCAGTATTGATTCTCGTTAAACTGTTCTACCGTAAAGTGCTTGACTTAGTGAGCAGGTCGTTGGGCTACCGAAGCGGTGGTACCATCTCCTCCGCAGAGGATCAAAATCGTGATGGCATGTCTTCGGATCATTATCAGGGATGTCTCCCAGACCGTTGCCAATAGCCAATTGGGCAGCTCTAGTGCGACGTAAATGAACTACAGCAACAACATGTAGATATAAGTAGAGCCATAATAATGTTATTTTCATTTAAAGGATTATTCAACAAGGAAAAAAATATGTATTATTTTTTAAATTCTTGTAGTGACGTGTTCTATGAAGTTTCTAGGGATGTTTCTGAAATTCGTGAAGTAAGTATGTACAAACTTTTTTTTTAAGTACTGTAAAATATTATGTTATTTAAAATCATATTTGGGTTAAACAATTGTTGCTAGGGACAACCGGACAATGGTCTGAATAAAAAAAACTGGATGGAAGTCTAAACGTTTTGATACTATGAAGTTTTTAATACGTTTGTAGGGTCGCTGATTTTTAATGCGCCATGAAAGAAAAGCAATTTTGATTTCGTGTCATATCTAGACTCGAAGACAATCAATAAAAACCAAACATCAATATTAAGAGAGTCTATATCGAAACAAACATTTACAGTCAGTAACTCATCTCCTGCATGTCCTTGTCAGGAGAAAAATCATCGCCAACAAGTAATAAAGAGGGGGGAAAGTGTCTCCAGTCGTAATAAAGTCACTAATGTCAATATATCGACCGCTGTACGACCTAAAACACACAATGTTGCGAATAATTTTCTGAGCCTTCAAGAAAAAATTAATATCATTTCAAGTCTTCCACGGACGGAAACTGTTGTTTTTTTTGGTATATACTGACCCAAGTCAAGATTCTTGATGGTTCCGTAAAATCATTTTGATGGTTTATTCGTGATGGTCCAACATCATTTGATGGTCACACCATCATCTAACATTTTCCATTACGTGCTCATGGTTTCTGATATGCCAGCAAACTTTAATCATTCCATGACAGAAAATGGTACTTTAATACTATGATGGTTAACCATCAGGAGAAGATGGATTCTCAAGGACCAACAATTCTCGATGATCCGTGATGCTTCATGATGGTTCCAGCTATACAATTCCATGATGGTTTAATGGGAATTCTTGTTGGTTCTCGAGAATATACCATTAAAAAAAATTTTTATACTGATCCATCACAAATCCGTCTAAATTCCTACATTGATTCGATGGCTGTTCGTGTTTATTCCAAAAACATTTTTAGAAGCACAGTTGTATATATTTTTTAAACTTTACGTCTGACGTGAAATCTAAAGATAATATTTAAAAATACCAGTGATTAAGAGACATTCTGTAAAAAATCGATAATTTGAAATCAATAGAGTTTATTTTCTATTAGAAAGCGTAATATACGTATTAATGGCGACTGGTACATTTCGTCCTTTAACGTCCTTTTAAACATCCATTTACCTGGATCAAATTTTATAATAAAACTTTTCATTTCCTGTTATTACCGTTCTTACCATTCCTTGTACGGTATGAAAAAATCATGTAACTGGAATGAATATTTTTTAATAAGTACTAAGCGATTGTGTACAAAACGAAAAAAATTCACCAAACTTATAAAAAGCTTAAAATAATTTCTACTTTTTTCATTCTAATTCGAGTACTTTTTGAAGGAACCTACCCGCATTTACTTTACATGGAGCGGGAAACCACGCAAACCACCCCCAGTTAGCCCAATGGCAAAGAGTCTCTATCCCATGATCCATCTACCACTGAGGATATTTTATATCAACACTGTGGTCGATGTTCTGAATTCGTATCGGCCAGTCATCGGAGGGGTTAGAACCCGGTTCAGCTCAATAGGAAAGCAACCGCTCTATCTCCTGAGCCCCAACGACTTCGGTTCAATTATATTTAATTTTATAACTTTCGGTTGTATGGTATAAGACATATTAATAAGGACATACACACAGAAATTCATTTTTATATAGATAGATAGATAATAATAGCAATTGGTCAGAGTTCTAAAATGCCTTTATTAATAAAAAATTAATTTCTTACTCGGATTTCTTAAAAAGAAAAATTATATTACCTAAGAATATTAAGCAATAGATTCTTAAATTTAACTATTTTAAATTTCATTTATTTATTTATTTTTAAGATTTTCACAATGGATTAAAATTTCTATAGACCTGAGCAGCTTGGAAATAACCACATATGACACTAGTCCTAAATTTGAAGTGAGTTTTTACTTGAATATTTCATAATCATTTTTAATTTTTAGCAAATTTTATTTCGCAATCGGAGAATATTGCATTCACGATGTTTGTCGCTAAAAAGGTCTGGAATGAAGCTCAAAATAGGTTCATCGTTTAGTTTCAAAGCAGTAAATATTCTACTTTTTCATAAATAACAAGTGTAGATATCATAGTATTCATACTATAGTCTAATAGAAATATGGTTCACGCGTTTTTTTTCTTTCTAAGTATAACAGTAGGCTGCTTGCTGAATCCGTGTTTGATTAACGTTTCTTCTTTCGGTTTGACATAATTCGCGCAAATATAATANTAATTTAATATAATATAATATAATATAATACAATATCATTTTTGGGTCACTTTCTTGAAAAATATTTAATAGCGTAAATAAAAATTTCTAGTTTTAAATATAATCAAAAATGTTCAATTAATTTTTATTTGGAAAGTATATATTTCTATGTTGAATCAATGGTCTCCAAATTTGTCCCTATAGTTTTCTATCTGACTATTTTTCAAAATTGCTATTTTTCACGATTATCATAAGAATATTTTTAATACTATCTGGATTTCCTAAAAAGTAACAATTTAGGCATTAATCAGTTAAAAAGGTATAATTATCAATAGTTGTGTTTAATATTATTTATTTTTATTTTAGAGCATTGAACATTTTGGTAACATTGGAGGCTATGTGGGTATGTGGCTGGGTATATCATTAGTTGCAGTTTTCGATTTCTTGAGTACGGCGTTTGCTTTGCTAAAATTTCCTTTTCAAAACTTTACTATTAAAAAGACCAGAGTACTCAGCATAAGTCATCAAGCACGAAACAAGTAAGACTTTTAAGTTTATAAAAATCAAAGATTTTAAAAAGCTATTAAATTCAAAAAAGGAGAGGGTAATAATTTGTGCAATGTGAATAAATGTACATAAATTGATACTTATGCGACCTCCATACAAAAACCTTCCTCAGAGTCAAATCAAATGCTTTACCTTAAAATAACGCTGCAGACCGTCTTTTTAATATTATTGATTCCACCTATAATCTCGTAATCCATCAAGCTCTCCGAATTGAGCTTAAGCATTTTGATAGTTTTACTTTATTAACCGATAACCAGTTCCTGAATTGCTAAGATTTTGAATACATTGGAAATCATTTTCTCCCCTCTTAATAAACTCACTTATCTTAACCATTTTTAGGCCAAGCAAATGAACTTTATAAAATGAGGAATATTTTCCTTGATATATGCTTACAGTACATTTATTAAGACGTACAAAAAATTCCGTTTTTGAAAAAATTATTTTTTATTTAAGAAATAAAATGGGGCGTATAGGCAACATTCGTCAAGTCAATGAACAAACTATCAAGTTGAAAGCTTGTTTTTTTATGATTTTTTTTTTATTTGCAGACTTGAAACTTTAATCCTCCACAAAACACCAACACCAAAAGGTATTGATCAATATGTTCAAACGCTTTATGCTCTATTTCTCTTAAATGGTATTTTTTGAATACATTATTAATAGTTAAAAAGAGAAGTCATCATTATCCTTTCTAATACATAAAAAATTAACAATTATAAAAAATACATTGTTTCGCAAATGATAAAATTTAGTTTTACTTGCTTCAACTGAAAAAAAAAATACTTTGGGAAAATTGAAGAAAATCCCTTTTATGTTGAACCACCAAAGAGTTTTTATATTGGCAGCCAGCATATCAAAATATTCCCTGTTAAGACTAATGCGCATGATTATTCCTATTACTAATGCTACTAATATGCAACTCACAGTGCTAAAAGACCAGCAAATCAGTAACAATCTTCCTATCAGATATTCTGCAATGGAAACTTTAATATATCTTTCCGAACATTCTAACAAGCACGAAATCAGCTAAATTATACCCACAATGATTCACTAAATAATGCATTTTCTAAGAAATAAAACAAAATCGTTTTCTATTTGCACTAGCCACTGATGAGACCATTGAGAGCAAATCAAAGATTTCAATTATTTAAAACCATTTTTGTTTTATGATGAAACTGAAGAACAGTAGCTATGAAACTAATAAGGTGTTTTTTGATGTTTGCTTTTAATATTTGCTTAGCATTTTTCGAAAAGCAATTGTTTTTTCTCTGTCTTAATTAAGCAATTTAAATCTTCTAACGTACGTATGCAGCATGTCCTTATTTGGACTTTGTGCTATTAAACCCTGCATTCAATCAATCTAACGTTCATATAATATTTGTTTTTTTTTAATGATTCTAAACCTATACATTTACATGTTCATGAAGAAACACTCTGAACGTCAATAAGAGAAAGAATACATAAATGCATAAAAAGTATTTAACTGTCAGATATTTTATAGCACAAACTCTCGTAATACAAAGCCTTTATTATTATTTTTTTTATTCAAAAAAATTCTGTCTTTATTATAATTTTGATCTTAAAACCTTTTTGTTGTTAACAATCATATATTTTTGACTCCATTTCCTTTCAGGAATGTTGAAAATAGAGAAAACAAATCTTGGTCCGATTATTTGACGAATGCCTTTCGGGATTCGATGTTGAGTGGCGTTCCACAGATTCTTATGGCTGAGAGTAAAACCAAGAAATACGCTCTTCTATTGGCATTTCTGTCTTGTTTAGCGGGATATACTTATCAATCCTCTGAATTCCTGAAACTGTTTTGGAAGTATGAAACTGTTGTTGATATACAAATAACTAACAGTAAAGAGACAGAGTTACCTTCAATCACTATTTGTAATTTTGATGGGTAAGTATCTTAAGACTCTTTCATTACCAAATCATACTTATTTATCCTATAATTTTCAATAAAAATTATGAGCGTAGAGGAAAAATGTTTCATGAAAAAGTTTTCAATAAAATTCTACTCAACTATACAATACTCTGGATCCCAATAACTGATAAATTCAGGGGGTGGGATAAAAGACATCAAGAGGATAAAAAGTTGTCATTAAGCATTATCTCGAAAAACGCATGCAAGCTCCCTCTGAATCTAGAGGAGATATTTAAAAAGGGAATGTCTAGGAGATATTCTACGATATAAAAATATGCACTTATATACTCACTTTGGAGAGAGAAAAATACCTCCATGTGCAGCCGAGATTCCTTTTTACGTCATTGTAGCCTGTCGAATAATGACGCATAATAACTAATAAAATAAATCTTTGTGTTGTTTGCCAATCTTTAATATCATTCGTTGTTTTTCATCACTCCTGGAGCTTGTCAAATTGTTTAGAGCGGAATTTTTATTGAAAGGAATTCTCAACATTTTTAATTTAACATAAAGTCTATCTTCACATTAATTCTCAAATTTAACGAATTTTTTCAAGTTTTAAAATTAAATTTTTTGTTATTAATTATAAATTACTACAAAATGTATTTTAATTTCATTAAATATTTCTGAAGTTATGGTGAGAAAGCGCAAGTAAAAAAAATTTGTCTTTCTGAAAATTTCCTTTTTTTTTATGAATCTTTAAGCTAGGCTTGCGACATTTTCTGCAGTTATTTTTATATAAGATAAAATCAAGCTTCATATTATTTCTCAACACAAATTTCGATTTTAATATTGGATTATAGTACCATGCAATATGCAATATATTTCGTTTGCAATACAATTTGTTTACAAATATATCGAAAACACAGAATTTCTGAAAAGTAATAGAGCGAGCAAAGTGTGTTTCTTGAAGCAAAATAACGGAAGATTTCCATTTAAAATGAATCAGAGTAATTTTTTTCATTTAAGCTATGATATTTTTCTCAATAATTTTGTTTTTAAATAAATTAGTGTGAAATTAAAAAACTCTGTCATTCCACTTTGCAGATCAAATGTATCGAAAATATGTGAGGAGATTAAACCAGACTGGTGCAAGCCATTACGGGACGAATATCGAAATCCAGCTGAATGTAATTGCTTAGACCGAATTTGCGAAAATGGCACTTTGATAGATAAAATGGTTTGTAATTATAAATACTGTTTTCGATTGACATCATGCAATTCTACAGCAGGATTGCATGAAATCATTGCATTTGATTTCGCTTCCGACTTTCATTTATCGCCCAAACCTTGTTTTTAGGCATCGGGTCTTTCATTTCATCAATTTGTTATTGTGATTTTCGATAATAAAATGGCAATTAATTTGATTTGGGACAGGTGGTGCATTACTTAAACAGTAAATATTTTATTAAAGATGCGAATTTTTTTAAACCTTACTCGGAGACTGCATGGTTTACACAATATCACTATAATTTCCTTCAAGCACACGCTTAAATCATTATTTTATTAATTATAAATTAAAATCTATTTGAAATAAATTCCGAAGCTCAAAAGCTTTTATTTTTGCAAATTAATACCATAAAAGTTTTTTCTCCTTAAGACTGTAAGGAATAGTGTGATCTCAACGAGGATAATCAATTTAAATAAATATAATTTTTTTCTCGGTAACATGTGATTAAGAAATAATTAAAATAATAATCAGAGCATTTTCATGAGAACCTCATCTATTGAGAGTGAAGTATTCTGAATATTGTTGGAATCTGATGCTCTCTAACCAATTAAATAAATACAATTTTGTCTAAAAAGGAGAGGGCTTACTACGTAGANGTGAAGATAAAACAAAATGAAGATAAAACAAAGGAAAATTATAGATATATACAAAAGGGGGGAGGAAATAATAATGAAGAAAATAAAAAACATCTGATTTAAAAAAATTTTTTAAAAAAAAGGATGAAATTTTTTAAAAAAAGCCCGGAAAATAGAGGATATAATCTTTTCATCAGCCCACACGATTATATCCGCAAAAAAGAGTGCTTACTGATATTGTATCAATATAGCCAAAGCAAAATATATTAATACAATAGTGTGATATATATATATATATATATATGTGTAAATAAATATATATATATATATATAATGTTCGCAGAAGTGTTTCCAGAATTCCAGAGGAGGTATAAAACTTGGGTTATATTTTACTCAATACAGAAAACCATTTATTTTATATAGGTCCTACCTCCTTCTGGATATAATGACATAGCTACATTTCCACCCAATGAACGTCTAGAGTATATTCAGGATTTAAATGATGTAATACGTGGCTGTTCATTCGTTGTCCATGGTAAACATCCCGAGGATTGTGAGTAAGTTTTTATGTTGTGATGTAACAAGAAAGCACGAAGATAGTTCTAGGCATTGAAGTTTAAATTCTGTTAAATAGATACTGGTTGTTAATTAATAAACGCCCCTTAAATTCGCTTTATACTTCTTCATATATAAAATTTGTCTGTGTGCAAGAACGTTTGTACTTTAGAAGCTTCAAAGGGGAACAACAATTAAAATCTAGCTTCCTTCAGCAATTTTTAAACTTTCATTGGGTGTTTTTTTAAGCTATCATCCTTTTCCAGCAGCATTTAGTTCGCATACAGTGTAGAAAAAATTAAAACTCAGTATTTAAACTCATTTTTAAAAATTACTATTATTTTTTTATAAAACCAGAAACACCCCTTTTTTAAAAAAATAGAGCATTTCGAAATGCCTGGTTGAAACTGGCCATTGATGGTTGAAACGACACTTTTGCTTTAAACTTCATTCCATTGCCTATTTCTCTTGGTTCAAAATCTAGTAAAATAAATTTCCAGACTTGCTCATAATATACAGTGGCTTTACGTGACTGTTTTTTTTTTTAAATTTATTTAGTCCTAGAGGACATAGATCTGCATGCATGACAGCTCCTTATATTTTAATCTGCTTCTTATCGGTACAATTACTATTCTTCGAAATTGACGGGTTATGGTGCAAATTTAAAGATTGAGCCCTTGAGTTGCAACCCTCGTAAGACAGCTCAGATAATTCAGCATTATAATACCATTCATTATAATATCATTCAAAATAATACAAATATTTCTAATAAATTCAACAGATTAATTGCATTGGTTAAAAATATAAATGCATGCAAATAACGCAATTTTTTAAACTTTACTTGTTTCAACAAAACAAAATTCTATATAAATATATATAACTCATACTTAAAATATAAATAATAAGTAATATATAAATATAAATATAATATATAAATTTATATACATAATAAATGTAGATAATATATATAATATATAAGTATCAATATAAAATAATTATGTATAAATATAAATATATAAGAAATCATACTTTCAGGAACATATTTATTGGCAACAAGTACAGTAATGTTTCAGTTATTTTTCAGCATAGCCACCACCAGATTTGAGACACTTGTCGTATCGTGGGATCAACTTTTGTATCCCTCTGTTGTAGTACTCTGCCGCCTGTGAATGGAACCAGCATGTTGCAGATGTCTTCAGCTCTTCCTTGCCAAAATGCTCACCGGATGACAGGAATTTCTTGAGGTGCAAGAAAACGTGAAAATCGCTGAGAGCAATACCAGAGTTGTAGGGTGGATGATCAAACAACTCCCAGCCGAATTTCGTCAAAGCAGCTGTTGTGCGTCGTGCCGTATGTGGACAAGCATTGTCTTGGAGGAGCGCAACTCCTGTAGAAAGCATTCCACGACTCTTGTTTTGAATGGCACGTCACAATTTCCGCAGTGTTTCACAGTAACGGCAGACATCTGACGCACGGTGGTTCCATTCACAGGCGGCGGAGTTCTACGACAGAGAATTTCAGATTTTTTTAAAATGTTTTTTAATTTTTTTACATAATTTTTTAGACAGGAGAGTGGTTTTGCATTTTTAACTTTAATATAAATTTTAACTTGTGACACCATCTTCAAGGCTGTCTCAAATTCCCTTCCTATTTTTCAGAATGCGGATATGCCCCATATTTTGATAGTCAAAAATCGAAATTCTCGGAGAAAAAATTTTATGTTTAATTAGATAAAATATGCTTTTGCGACTGATATCATAAACTTATGTATGGTGTGCGCAATTTAATAAAAATGTTTTTTCATACTGCAATTATCATTCAAAAGTCGCGGTTGACAATCAGTAAATCTCAATGTACAGGTTTGACCTAAAATCTACTTTTTGATACCATAATAACAATGAGTTTTAATTGACGGATGATTCTCAACATGATGGGGCATTCTAAACAAGAAGTACGTACTTGAGTATAGTGTATCCCATTTTTGGAGCAAGTTAGACCCTAGCTTCGAAATGATTTTGAAAAAAGGGTGGAAAAGTTTAATTTGTGCTTACGTTACTATAATGTATAGTGAGTGTAGTTTGGATTACAGTTCTCTAAAAACGTGGTGGTATTCTAAACAAAAAATACTCGAGTGGTTCTTATGAAAGCCTATCCAATTTTTACATCAAGTTACTCTTTAACCTCGAAATGACTTTTAAACAGGAATGAGTGTTGCGATTGTTTCCCACCGCTAATGCACAAAGTTAGGAGATCAGACCGGCGAATCCATACCTTAATTTCCTGACAATCGTCGTAAAATGTTGTCGTTTATTAACAAGAATCGAGAATCAACTTCAATATGGAATAGAATATGTTTCCCACGATTTTTTTCCACCGCTAATGCACAAAGTTATGAGATCAGACCTGCGAATCCATACCTTAATTTCCTGACAATCGTCGTAAAATGTTGTCTTTTATTAACAAGAATCGAGAATCAACTTCAACCATAGGAATAGAATATGACTCTAAATTCTGATAGTTGTGCCGATTTAAATTAAGCAAATGCTTCGATGAGGGGGCCCTTCATTGAAATAATTGCGTGACACTTCCTCCTCTGGAATATTTTTTTCCTTACTACCTGAGTCATATTGGTCATATACGACAATTGGTCATATAAGTCAATTTTAAGCAAAAAAAATTCAATAAAGGAAGAAAAATGAATAAAGAGAGAGAAAGAATCAAAAATTTAATGCTACCTTTTTGAACTATTCCATTTGGAAAATTTAATAAATTTTAATGGAATACACATTTTGGAATTATGGAATGTATTATATGCATTTCAATGCATATTAAAATGCGATGTGTTATAAGCATTTATATTTTTCAACGAATTTATTTTTTCTTTCCAGCTTGTCATATTTCAAGAAGTCAAGTGTTTCCACACCAACTGAGTCTGGTTTTTTGAGTGGCTGTTGGACTTTGAATACTGTTTTTGGAAGACCAAATGCAAAGCCAAGTGTAGTGACTTCGAGTGGGAGTAAGATATACATTTTTGTCTCCTCATATCATGAAATTTTGTTTACCATAAGAATTTTAAGGCTATTTCCCACTACGCATAACAAAAGGTTTTAACACTGAATTACAGTGAATGAGTTGCCTTTTTTGAAGTGAAAGTTAACTTAGTTAATAAATGGAAATGACTGACTCTAAATTAAATAATATTAGTACATGTTAGAAAAAATGTCTTTTAAGTAGAATGTTATGAAATCATACCAGCCTATATTCCCAGTCGAAATATTCTTCAGAAAAGCTTTAAAAATGGCAATTAAAAGACTTTTTTACACGAAGACTGTTGTTTTTTTGTACATAAAATAAACTAGTTACTTTGAAGTTGTAGTTTAAATGTCTGAAAAGTAAATTTTTACTTTTCTTGGTAATTTTTTAAGGAAAAATTTTAGTTTGCTGAAGTAAAAATATTTAAGCGAAGGACATTGAAGAAAATTTAAATTCTTAGGAATGACTGTAAAATAACCAGTTCTTTTAAGCCTATAATTTTGAAATAAACATCGTTAAAGAAAATTCGATGAAATAATATTCATCTTCCGGAATTCTGCTGATTCTGTCTAGGGAAGAGTTTAAGGAAGCGTCGAGGAAAAAATTAACTCACATCAAGAGGCTCGGATTTTGAAAAAGTGTACCATGGACCAAAAACTTTTTGTACTCTTTTAATAACTTTTGATCTCACAATCCAATTAATTTATTTTTGACTATATTATCGAATAATGTATAGTAGCTATTGATATTTGATATAATATTGAAACTAAATCTTAAATGATTCGAGAACCCCACCTTAAACATCAATTAGAGCATACAATATTTTAACTTCTGTCCTGAGTCATAATTGCATTGAATTGACGTCTGAGTCATAACTGCATTGCATGAAATGCCTACAGAATCAAAGTGGAAAAAAACTTTAAAAAACTTTTTGTTTAAATGTGGTATAATTTGACAGACTTTAATTCTAACTTATGTAAACAATGTTAGCTCAAATTGTAATGATGTAATTTTTGTTCTCAAATAAATAAATCAATAATGAAATAAATAAATTCATCTGTTATTACTTTGTTTACAAATAAACAGATGACAAAATAGTTTTAGCTTTTACACCCTTGTTGTCTCCACCCTGAAAATGCATATACGTCTCGCCGTAGAGATTAAGTTACTAGCCTCCTATATAAAAACTGACTGATGTGATTTTCTGGTTCATAAATTCAAAACAGAACTGTAAAGAGTATTATTGATATTAATTTTTAATAATTTTTAATTAAAGTACAAATAAAGCATTTTTACTCAAAGTTTTTCTGAAGAAGGTTATAGAACGGGAAAGAACATTTCCCTGGAAACGAAAGAAAACATATATTCCTTGAATACTTTCATTTTTTTTTCAAAGTTTAGCTTCGGTATGTAGTAATTTTAAAAATAGAATGAATTGTTTTCCTTTATGAGTAGGACTGGGCGATATTAGAAATTATATATCGTGATGCATCGTCAGTTTTGCATCGCGATATAGCGATGTATCGCGATATAGTATTTTTGAATTTCACTTACTTGTAAGCATATATGGCAGTACTTTTACTTTCGTTACTTGTACCGCCGGTACAAGTAAAAAGTACGTACTTTTACTTGTACTTCGTTACTTTTTAAAAGATATTCTTTTACTTGTACTTTCGTTACTTTTTTAGGGAAAAAGTACAAGTATTTGTAACGGAAATATCGAATGAAATCGTTACTTTTTTCTAAAACTCGGTAAGCTTTAAAAAAAAAAATTCAATTAAAAAAAAATACTTATGTTTTTTTTTTAATTTATAAAATTAATGTGCAATATATATGCATTCACGGCTAATTTCGTGTTTAAATACCTTCTGTTTCAACTTATACTGCACATTAAATTATTTTTTACTAGCTCAAAGATCACAAAGCTATCTGAAACCCCGTGTTTGCTTTGTTTA